GTACCGTGAACCCCAGCGCGGCGGGCAAGCCATACGTCAGTATCGGATCTGGTACTGGCGCCGTTATCTGGCTTGTTGACCCCGAGGACCACAACAAGCTTGTCCCTGTGGGAGCTGTTGGTGAGCTGCTCGTTGAGGGTCCTATCGTTGGTCAAGGATACCTGGGTGACCCTGACAAGACGGCTGCGGCCTTTATCCACGACCCTGAGTTCCTGCTTGCTGGTGGAGGTGGCATTCCTGGACGCCGAGGACGTCTGTACAAGACAGGCGATCTTGTTCGTTACGACCCTGACGGAGAGCGTGGGTTCGTTTTCGTTGGACGCAAGGATACACAGATCAAGCTCCGTGGCCAGCGTGTCGAGCTGGGTGAGATTGAGCATCACATCAAGAACCTTCTCCCCAACGGATCAGAAGTCGTCGCCGAGATCATCGCCCCGCGAAACCAAAACAAGGAGTCCATGCTCGTGGCCTTTATTGCGGACCGAGAGGCCAAGGAGGAGGGTGATGTTGAGTATATTGCCGACTATCCCCCTCGTCTGCGCGAGGCTATGCAGACTCTCAACGATAAGCTTTCCAAGGTTCTCCCCGTCTACATGGTTCCGGCTGCCTACATCGGTCTATCCAAGATTCCCTATCTTGTCTCTGGAAAGACAGATCGAAAGTCGCTTCGAGCTCTTGGCGCGGATATCTCTGCTTCTCTGCAAGCTTCAGCCGCTGCTGCAGAAGATGAGGTTCTTCGTGAGCCCGAGTCGGAATCAGAGCTGTTCCTGCGTGACTCTTGGTGCCGCCTCCTCGGTCTCGAGACTGACCAGGTTGGCACCAACCACAACTTCTTCATGCATGGTGGCGACTCTGTCCTCGCCATGAAGCTTGTTCCCATCGTTCGTGACTGGGGCTACACTCTCTCCGTTGCTGACGTCTTCAACTACCCCATCCTTTCCGACATGGCCAAGGCGATGACAAAGGGTGATGCCAGCAAGAAGGTCGACATGAACATTCCTGCCTTCTCTCTACTCAAGTCCGATATGAACCGTGATGCCCTGTGTGCCGAGGCTGCTGAGCAGTGTGGCTGCAATGGCGACTCCATCGAAGATATCTACCCCTGTGCTCCCATGCAAGAGATTCACATGGCTTTCTACACTCGATCCAAGGAGAACTACATCGCCCAGCGAATTGCCGATATTCCTGCTTCCAGCTCAGTCGACAAGCTTAAGGCCGCTTGGGACGTCGTGTACAAGGAGAGCAGCATCCTCCGAACTCGAATCGTCGAGTTCAAGCAGCACGGCTTCATGCAGGTTGTCGTCAACGAGAGTCTGGAGTGGAAGGACGTCAAGTCCAGCCTAGATGACTTCCTTGAGGAGGACAAGAAGGTGCCCATGTCTCCTGGAGCACCTCTGTCTCGCTTTGCTATTGTCGAGGATGAGGATCTTGGCAAGCGATACTTTGTCTGGACTGCCCATCACGCCATCTACGATGGTTGGTCGACCGATCTGATTGTTGAGCACGCCAGAGCTGCCTACAAGGGACTCGAGGTCTCGCGCCCTGCCGAGTTCAAGCACTTTGTCCGATACCTGGCGGAGGACTCGAGGGAGGCTTCCCAGGATTACTGGCGCACACAGCTTTCTGGTGCTACTGGTCCTCAGTTCCCTTCTCTGCCATCTCGTTCTTACATCCCTGAGCCTGACTCCCTGGCAGAACGATTCATCACCACTGGTGGTAAGTCTACCAGGTCTGATATCACCATCGCCACCATCATCCGGGCTGCTTGGGCTCTGCTCGCATCTCAGTACTCTATGAGCGACGATGTTGTGTTTGGAGAGACCTTCATGGGACGAACCATCCCTCTCCCTGGTGCTGAGCTGATTGAGGGTCCTATCCTGGCTACCGTCCCTGTCCGCGTTCGTCTTGACCGCACAACCTCTGTTGGAGAGTTCCTCCGCTCCATTCAAGACCAGGGTGTCATCAGGGCCGCCCACGAGCATCTTGGTATCCAGCACATTCGTCGACTGAGCGAGGATGCTCAGATTGCTTGCGAGGTCACCATGGGTCTTGTTGTCCAGCCCCAGGACCCTGATCCGTCCGAGACTGAGAACGACGAGCTTCCTTCGTTCCGTGGTGGAGACGCGGCCCTGGAGGCCTTGCACTTCAACTCGTACCCCCTGATGCTTGCTGTTTCTATGCAGCACAACGGCTTCCGTCTCTTGGCAAGCTTCGACTCTCGGCTCCTGACCCCCGTCCAGGTTCAGCGTGTGCTGGCTCAGTTCGAGTCCGCTGTGTCTCTGCTGCGTGGCGACCTGACTGTTCCCATGAGCGATGTCACTTGCCTGAGTGAAGAGGAGCTTGGCCAGATCTGGGAGGTCAACAAGGAGGCACCTGTCTCTCCTCGCGACATCTCTCGGGCTCTCGCCAGCGGAGATAAGTACCCCACGGTTCGATACACTCCTTGGATCGTCAACCCCTCCAACGAGAACGTTCTTGTGCCTATTGGAGCCGTTGGAGAGCTTCTCCTTGAAGGAGCTTCTGAAAAGGAGGATGAGGATGTGGTTGATGCCCCTGAGTGGCTCAAGGAGGGCATTGTCGGCTACCCAGGCCGCAAGGGCAAGCTCTACCGTACCGGTGATCTTGTCAAGTATGCTGATGACATGAGCTTGATTTTCGTTGGTCGCAAGGATACTATGACCAGCGTCGACGGCCATGTCATCAACCTCACCGAGACTGATCTTGAGCTCAAGCGACTGCTCCCGGCCAACACTGAGGCCTCAAGCCAGCTCGTCCTTCCCCAAGGCTCCAACAGCCAGACTCCCATGGTCATTGCCTTCATCCAGGAGACTCCTACCAAGGACGCTACCGTGCTTGATCTCGGGGTTGACCGCAGCGTCGCTCATCTTCCCCTCTCGGGCGCCATCTCATACGAGCTCGCCACTGCCATCATCGGCCTCAACAAGGCCATGGTCGAGACTCTCCCTCCCTACGCCATCCCCTCCATCTGCATCCCCGTTTCCAAGACAACGGCAACTGGCGAGTCGGTTGATCTCAGCACTCTGGCTGAGAAGGTTACTCTCAAATTGGTCATGGAGCTACGCAAGGCCTTTGGCACTCTCCGCAAGACCATCACTGAGTCCACGCCTTTGACCACCAAGGAGCGTGTCCTTCGCTCTCTGTGGTCCAAGTTCTTGAACGTTGAGGAGGAGAAGCTGTCACTGGACGACAACTTCTTCCGTCTAGGAGGTGACTCGATCGTCGCCATGAGAATGGTTTCCGCACTTCGACAGCTTGGTTACCGTCTGTCTGTGGCGGCCATCTTCCAGTACATGCAGCTTAGGGGCATGGCCAACTCTCTTGTGGAGATCCCCACTGAGCCTCAGGAGACCGTCAAGGAGTACGCTCCTTTCTCGCTTCTGAGCCAGACTAACGTTGATGGCTTCCTTGCCGAGAAGATCCAGCCTCAGCTTGCAGACTCGACCTGGAAGATCCAGGATGTCTTGCCTGCTACTGATCCTCAGCAGCGAGATGTCAAGTCGACTGTCTCTGCGCCAAGGAGCTCTGTTCAGTACAACATGCTCTACTTGGAGAAGTCTATCGACACCGTCCAGCTTGTCGATAGCTTCCAGTACCTGGTTTCTCGTCACCCTATCCTGCGAACTGTCTTTGTTCAGCAAGATAGCGAGACACTCCAGGTGATACTTGACGATATGAAGGTGCCAGTCACTGAGCTTGACGTTGAGGGACCAATCGATGCTGCCAGCAAGGAGCTCGCCGAATCCGACGTTAATGTCGACTCGGCTTTCACCTACGGATCTCCCTTCCTCCACCTCTTCGTCCTCAAGGGTGAGAACGAGAACGCCCTGATGATCCGTATTTCTCACGCTCAGTACGACGGTGTCTCCCTGCCTGAGCTCCTCCGTCAGCTCGAGCTCCGATACCGAGGTCTGGAGATTCCTTCCTCAGCACCTTTCACAAGCTACATGGAGCACCTGCAGAAGACCAAGTCTGACAACATCACCTTCTGGCGCAACACTCTCGAGGGATCTTCTCACACTGAGATTGCTCCGGCTGCTGATCCTGCCCTGAAGACTGCCTTCATGACCAAGGATGTCGATGTCACTGGAAGCTCCCCTGACACGACTCTTGCCATGCTCCTTACTGCGGGTTGGGCCAAGGTGCTGTCTCAGTACCTTGGCGTCTCTGATGTCACATTCGGAGGCATTGTTTCTGGCCGTGACGTTGATGTCTCTGGTATCGATAACATTATGGGTCCTTGCTACCAGTACATGCCCGTCCGGGTCAAGTTTGAGGAGAATTGGACTGCCACTCAGCTCCTGGACCACGTTCGAGCTCAGTATCTCGAGGGTACCCAGCGAGCCACCCTGGGCTTCCAGGAGATCCTCAACGAGTGCACCAGCTGGCCCGCCTCCACACCTTTCTACGGCTCCTTCACCAACAACCTCAACAAGGAGTACTTTGACTCAGTCCCCTTCGCTGGCACCCAATGCCGCGTCGACTACACAATCCCCCACCCCGAGCCCGCCACACCTCCCCGCGTTGTGTCATTTGTTGAGAATGGCAAGACACAAGTTGGTATCGAGGCTGATGAGGAGCGCCGGGAGTTCTGGGAGGCGAGACTGGAGGAGCTTGCCAGTGTTGTTGAGGGATTCGTCAAGAACCCTGAGGCTTTGATTTAATTGGTTTTGTTTTAATAAATTGGGCAATTGAAATTATGCATTAGGAAACGGGTTTAGGTTTGGGATTGGGGATGGAATTGGGAAATAGAATGGGTAATGCCTTGCTTTAATGGTTTAATAAGTCTGTTATTTCAACTTGCCTGACTACTTTCAATATGTGATGCTACGAAATTGGTATCCGTAGGACTTTGGTCACTCCTCAAGTAACTATCACAAGATCTTACATGGCTGGAAAAATTTGTTGCAGGTTCTTACCTTCAGCTCGTAATAGTTTCGAGCCTGTGCCGCTGACGCACTGAGCAGAGTGTAACGTTTTGTAAGAAATGAAAACCAAACTCTTCATCATCAATGATATCTGTCTAACTATAATGCCAAACAAGGTGATATCTCTCTCTTCAAGCTGGCCATCACTCAAGCAAGATCAGCCAAGACACTTGCAGATGGAACAAAGAATGTTGAGCCCGTCACTGGCTTCGAAAAATCAAGAATGCGATCATGCAAGCCAGGAGGATCTCCAACAAACATACGTTCCATCATCTTCTCCACTACCCAGAGTTTCTTTGAATATGCGATAAAGTAGGTCCCAAACTCGCCGTGGGCAGGAGAACCAAAGGGCATGTTATCTCGTAGAATGTCATGCTCACTTCCATCCGCGTCCTCGATCGTCGCAAGGCTCTTGTGGGACTGTTGACCAGATTCGGCATCGTCGAGCTCAATGTTGTCAAATTTTGTGCGTCCAATGATGGTTTCTTGCTGTTCAGTTGAAAGAGTGCGCCAAGCTTTGAGATCGTGGAGATACTTCTGAACGACAACGTAGCTCCCACCTACACCGGCGGAGTCGTCTTGAGCAGTTACTAGGACTGCATCAGTAACATCTGGGCCCACTGGGTTCGCAGTTCCGTCAACGAACCCGAGGACATCGCGGGTATCAAAGTATCTAAACCCGACAGTCTCGTCCTCAACCTTGACAGCTTCTCCCAATCGGTCCATGAGCTGTCTCTCAAATTCAAAAGAGAGGTCTCTTCTTTCAGATCGAATGTGAAAGAACAAGTCTCCGGGTGTTGAGACAGCCGTGTGTTTCTTTCCCTCAACTTGCTTGAATGGATGCAACTCAGTCGGGCGAGGAAGGTTCACGATCTTGTCCCAAATTGAGCTTCCGATGCCAACGGTACATGAGAGGTTGGCTGTTTGGTGGCGGATGGAGATGTTCTTGGTGATGTCGGCGATGCTGGATAAAGTCGAACGGATGGTATCAGAAGCATCGGAAGTATCTTTGGCTGATAAGACAAGAAACGTCGCCGACTGGGACAAAGGAGCCTCGACTGCTTGAGGATTCATTTGGAGATGGGACTTGCGGGAGGTTGAAATAAAGCGGGGGTTGTATTGAAAGGGAGCGGTACTTCTGTGTACCAGGCGCTTTTGGAGCGACAGAAGGGACAAGAATGGTGCGACTGGTATCCTAATAGACTTGGTGACTTGCACAACATTCATATTGGTGTCCAGTCTGGTGTGAGAAGACGGGCTCCAAGTACTGCTTTTTGTTCTGGAGAAGGTCACATCGCATCGTACGAGGCTTCGGCAACGTCATGCCTATAACTTCTAACTGCATATCATCAATGGTTAAAGAGCTTCTTGCTCTCAATTGGGACACACTGTCTGCGATAAGTGCATGCTTCTGTCATTCTTCCACGGAAGCATCGGTGTAATTATGACGCGACGGCTTCGTTTTTGCCGAATGCGGTAGTAGTATTCAGCCAATTACGATGCTTTCAAAGCAATTACAAAGATTGTGACTTGTCAAGAAGGTGCTTACTCAACTTGGGTGGTGTGCCGTCAGCCGGTCATAACACGCAAGGAATAATTCAACATCAACCTGATAGACATGCGTGAATTGATAAGAACTCTGGTGCAAATTGCTTCCAGTTTTGAAGATGGACCGGTAATATCTAGTTATCCTTCATTTTACACCCAAGCCTCCAGAATACACCACCCATTTCATAGGCCCAGAACTCTTCTGCTTCGTTCGAGCCACAGGCCTGTCTCAAAACAACATCATAGACGTATAATATGGCAAAGCAATCCTTCAGATATTGTCGCAGCCCGCTTCTCGCCTCTTGGTGGATCTCGTCGTTCTCTTGAGCAAGTGGATCAACGACGACACACTCATCGCCGCCAGCTCCCCTGCTCAGGTCCAAGACTCCGATAGAACTCCAGAATGCACGATGAGGGATGTTTTGAGCAGGGTAGTCATAGTCCTGTAGTGCATCTCTGTTCAGGACACCCATAAGAGGGTCAATCTTCAAAAGTGAGATGTGTTCCTTCTGGCGACATTGAACCGCCTCTGTCAAGTTCAAGAGCACGTAGGCCTGTAGTGCCACGCTAGCGACAAGGTTCGCTCCAAACGCATGGCCCCAGCTCAAGCTTCGCAACTGTGACAGAGGGGTTTCCGAGGCAAGTCTCAAGAGAGCAGCCAGGGCTTCAATACGAAGGGGTTTCTTCGGGGCAACGGCCGCTATCACAACAAGCATCTTGACTGCATCAGCCAAATCGCCGTCCGAAGTGCAGAAGTCGCCTCCTTCAGCTCGTCTTTGCCAATACTTGACATCCTGGTGGGATGTTGACAACGGATTGTGCAGAGCTGAGTTGGTGTCATGTGGGCCGAGACCGAAATGCCGCTCCGGAAAGACAAGGACATCATCAGAGAATAGCTTAGCAGATGATGGAGCAGATGGGACTTTGGTAAGCTCAGTCTCTGAAAATTCTTTGATAGTTGCTGAAACCACGCGACTGAAGTGGCCAAGGGTGGATGCTTGAGAAGGGAGGTCGAGGGCGACGACATCGAAGCGGCCCTCTGTGTTTGATGGCACGAGGTTGAAGTGGGATGCTGCCGTCTTCCAGGGAATTTTGTGATCGAGATGCATGTTGATAGTAGATTAGGTTGGTCCTGGGAGGTGCCGGGGCTGGTTAAAGCGATTTCTAGCAGATGGGATGTTTCTTCAGAGCTCGTATTCGAACGCCTATTCGAATGCTACAATGCCCTCGGCCTTTGGTAGCGCCGACCTCCGATACGTCCGAAAGGGGTTGCCAAGCGTTGAGGCTCGAGGTTTAGCATATCACAGAAGGGACATTCTCCGCGAGACTTGTCGGGTTGAGATAGGGGCCGTGCTCTTAAGTCATGTCTAAAGAATGTGGCAAGGCTCGTTACTATGAGTCATTGTTGAGTCCGGCAAGAGTCATACGGAGAGCCGGTGACGAGGCGAGAAGCCGTTCCTGTCTTTGCACAGCACTGATCATTACAGAATACGGCAGTATATGACGTGGCTTGAAGGTGATGTAGAAGGCAATGGTTCATGTCTGGTCTCCAGGGCGAACCTAAATGCTTTGGCGGAGGAAACATCCTTCGAAACAGCCATATTCGGCGTCACATCAACTCTGTGTATTGGCGGCTCGCGATCACAGCCTTCAGGTTTAGGAGGCAGAACCTCTTCGTGCCGGTGCAGATTTCCGTGAAGATTCCGATCTTTGCTTGGCCGCTGGCCAGCTCGAACCAGCAACTGGCCCACGTCAGGGCATTGCAGCCTGGCAACGAGAATACTGAATTACTCCTGGACCGTAACCATTAGGACAGCTTCACTTGAAATTGAACCGAGCTCAGTCTCAGGTAGCTCTACTCCGCAGTACCAGCTAGGTGCCACCGATGCACATTAGGCTGTCTTTGTGACAACTTGCATGCTCCTTGTGCTAAGTAGGCCTCAGTTTTGACAGTGAGCTGCCTGGGCAGCAGTTCGAGACAGGAAAGGACGGCAAGACGTATTTCCATTTCCCAATACCAGCTCTGTCTGTCTGTCCAGAACGTGGCGCTCGTCAAAGAGTAGGAGTTAACACATGAAACAGAGGACCAAAGACAGGCAGTATCAAGAGTACAAAGAAGCCAACGATGGCGCAGGTCTATTTGCTCGGAAGGGTATCAGCATCTTGAGTTAGGCTTTGTGCCCATACTCGGTAGCACCTATGGGCAGTACCATCCAGTCCCAGGGGTATCTGTCTGTTTCATGGCTGGGATTGATCCTCATGTTTGCGATCCAAGCTAGACGACGACAACCACCAGATCAGCCAGTCCTCGCTGGTAAACAGGCACTAATATCGGTCTTTGGGCAAGCGGCTAGGACATGAATCCTATATGACAAGGCTCTGGGTTCAGCCGTACCATGCTCGCCAAGAGAAACGGTTTCAAGTGGACTGGCATGTGAGGACATTTTGAGCGGTGGCTCTCATCAAACCTCTGTCCTGGATCTCTACCAAACTCCCCCGATCTTTCGGAATTACCCATTCTCGAGGACAATGAGCAAGCCGCAGTGGCCCTAAGGCTCATGAAGCCAAGAAACTGCTAGCGATCGAGTGGTCAGTGATCCCCTCTTCCCAGATTGTCTTGTTTAGAACTGGCAACATGACTGGAGGAGGGAGCTCATCTGATTTATTAACTCAGACGACAAAGACTCGTATTGGCGGCTAGTGCCAATCATGTGAAGAAAGGGGGCTTGTGATTGAAATGAATATTGAAGTCAAGCCTGAGCTAGTTGCCTAGTGCAAGCTGTAGGGGTCACCTGTCAGCATCATGGTAGTCTGGACCACGATAGTGTCGGCAATTGATGAAGGTCGTAATTGTTTCACCGTATTTGCCAAGGGCCCATACGGGCGAGCAAATTGCTAGAGAGAAACGTCTTCTTGGCAGTGTTGGGTGTTGCGCGGCCTTCTGGTGGCTATGTTTGGCATGCTTGGCGTTTTCTTGAAATTGTGCAACAAGTTCTGACATGTAATACAATCCTTCATGGTACCGGCTTTGACATTAATGAATTCATCTCATCCCAAGTAGGCAGGTAGGGTTCTGGCATTACGAGACAGACCCATCATGGCAAGTAGGGCGTTCATGCAGTCTGACCCGTTGCCCGGGTTGTATCAAGTAACGCACGCGTGGAGAACGTCCGACGCTTCCGCTGAGAGAACCTGTCGTATTGTCATACGAATTTTGAGCCACGGCTTCCGAATTGCCTTGTACGCAAGAGGCTTACTGCCGTGTTACAGTTTGAAAGGCTTCGGAGATTGCTAAGCATAGGTAATCACGGCAGCTGAGGCAGAACATGGAAAAACATCCTTCAGCCAGCCAAAATGGGGAAATGCAAGGCGGTGTTGGGTAAAACAAGGTTGCTCCACGTCAGGAGAAAAGCCAGGAACCTGGCGTCAACACGTGAGGCAGCAAGGGCCCCGGACAGTGGAATTCAACGGAACCTGGGCCTGGCCGTTGGGAAGGTGGCAGTATCGATCAATGTGGGCATCAAAGAAAGATTCAGTACGCCGATCCTGAGACCTCACTTTGATCGCCACTAGCCCGCCTCGGCACTGGAGACGGGATCGGCGGTTCAGCTCAGCCAGCCTGGCGTTTTACAGTACAGAGGCGCTGCAGGTCCCGTAAAGTTACAGCAGGTTTTGGAACAAAACAAAAGGAAAAAACAAGCGCTGTGGCGTCTAGCTCGCGCGCCTTTGTTTACAAAACGCAAAAGACAAAAAGGGGGCCGCGTGTTTGGCGACCTGCGAAACCAGTGGCTTGTTTCAATCAAACGCTACCCGTTCGGCGGTTCTTCTTTTTTCTTTGAATCGGTCTTGTTTCCCCTTATTTCATTGTGCACGATGTTTTTTTCCACAGCATTCTGGATGCATGTGGATGGTCTGTTAGGCCTCCATCTCCAGCGCCGCCGAGCCCAGAAACCAGACGACTGACCCTCTGTCAGCCAATCGTTTCGGCGCCTCGGATCCCTTGCAGTAGTCTGTAACAAGCCCGAGTCAAGAAGCCAGCAGACTTTTTTCCAAGGCTGAGATGAGAGCGGCCGATCCGATCGGAGGGCCCCTTTGCAGGGAGATCAACAGAGACAGCGAAGCAGTGCAGTGCATCGAGAAGCAAAAAGACCACAGGGCACAGGCACAGGCGTCAGCTGCCAGGGTCAGAGCTAGGGGGAACGAGGGCAATTTAACAAAGTCAAGGCTTTGCGCCTCTTCCCCATGTCTTGGGCAATAATACGAACCGCAAGCGATATTGGAAGCGCCTCAACGGCCTGCTAGACCAGGATCGAAACAAATAAGCTACACTCTACTGTCTGTGGGAGATGATGGGGCCTTCTCGTCCCGAACACATCACCAGTCCGAACCCTCGCATGGTGGCGTTAAATGCCGCGCTCCGAGTGGAAATGTTGTCCCCCCCGGCATGTCATCTCGTCTCTAGTCTGCTTTGGCGAGGTGCAAGAGATGAAACCACTGGCCAGATCTGGTCCCCGACCAATATTAAAGGACTGGTATACCGAGTTTCAGTGTGGCAGCCCCCACACGCCAACTCGTAAAAGGGAGTTCCGGAGTCTCGGGTTGATCATGAAGGACCCAGTTATCCAGGGACACAACTCCAGACGAAAAGCCTTGGCTTTCAGGGGTTCTTGCATTCTCACGCCAACAATCTACCTTACCATGCATTTGGTTTGAGGCCATCGCAGAACAGCTTCTTTGTTGTTATTGACCCACACGCAGCACCAGCAGCCCCTGGCTCTTTCATCCCCGCAACCTCTCGATTATCCACGAGTGTGCATCGGGGCTTCAACGGCTTGAAACGTGCAGACTCCGCTTTGTCAATAAACTTGAAGGACGTGGCTTACGTAGCCAGGGACTGGCCATGCCATGGCACCACGGGTCCAAGTGCCCCAGGGGAGTTGCCCTACCTACCACTTGCCGAGTGGCGTCAAGCTGGGCGGTAAGGGACAGTTGAGGCGGTGACTTTCTCACCCATGGCGAGCCAAGTATAATATAGTCGATCGATCCCGTCAATCCCTTCCTTTGGATCTTTCCTCTCCAGACTCATCCAGTCTTGTCACTCCTTTACAAGCCCGTTCGACTTCGCTCACTCGTCCCCGGCAGGATCTATTCATTCATTCATTCTTTTTTTTCACGAATTTTACAGTCCCGGTGACCATAAACAACAAACCCAAACCCTCCAAGATGTACTTCTCCAAGCTCGCCATTTCCATGCTGGCTGCCACTGGCGCCGTCGCCCACCCCCACGCCCGCCGTGCCGCCCAGAACGACGTCGTTGTCGTCGAGTACGTTACCAAGGTCGTCACCGAGTACGGCACCAGCCAGCCCACCGCTGCCCCTCAGCGCCAGGCCAAGCAGCACAACTGGTGGACATGGAAGCCTTCTCAGCCCGAGCAGGTTGAGCAGCCCGCCGCGACCACCGTCGTCGTTGAGGCCCCCAAGGCCACCTCCGCCCCTGCTGCCTCCGCCCCCGCCGCCAGCTCCGGCTCCTCCGGTTCTTCCTCCGGCAACCTGGACGCCGACCAGAAGGGTGCCCTCGACGCCCACAACGCTGCCCGTGCCGCCGTTGGCAACCCCGACCTTGTCTGGGACGACGAGCTTGCCGCCGGCGCTCTCGAGTACGCCAAGCAGCTTGTTGGCATTGGCAGCCTCGTTCACTCTGGTGCCGACGGCTTCGGCGAGAACCTCTACCAGGGCGGTGAGGGCGAGGAGACCCCTCTCACCAACGCTGTCAACATGTTCAACGACGAGAAGAAGGACTACAGCGGCCAGGCCATCGACAGCACCAACTACATGACCTTCGGCCACTACAGTGAGTACCTGCCTTGCATTCATCAAATATCATTGTCGCTAACTCCCTCCCAGCCCAGGTTGTCTGGAAGTCCACCACCAAGGTCGGTATGGCCAAGGCCGAGGGCAACGGCAAGTGCTTCGTCGTCGCCCGCTACCAGGAGCCCGGCAACATGTAAGACAACCCACACTCCCTTGACACATCTCACCTGCTAACATCTCACCTCAGGATCGGCGAGGCTGCCTACTAAATCGTCGACTCGCACGACATGGTTGGGGGTATCTCTGGGTAGCTGGTTTAACCGGACATGGCTTCTGATCTGCATCTTTTGACTTTTGCCCTGCAACGCTTTTGAGGGCGATTCTCACCAGGGCTTGCAAACTGTAAAAGCATTGTTCTTATTCATTGTGAATAACACTTTAGTTTTGAGCCACACATACTGAACAACGTGTGATGATTGATGTTACCTTGGTTTGCGCCACGTATCTGTGCATGTTACCCTTGACGCTCCGATGACCGATGCTGTGGTCAGAGATCTGGCTCGGCTGTTTAATAGTGAACGGTATATGATGTGTGCCTTAATGTATGCATTAATGCTTAATGTGGGTGTTAATCCTCGCAAATCTATGCCAGACACTTTACGTCTCAATAGCGTGCTCGCTCGTATAGGGTATTGCGTCAATGTTAGATCTCGCGCTAACCTTGTTAACTACCCCATCTCAAGCCACTGACTGAATTGGCTCCTCTGTCGTTGCTTTTAAGTTGGAATAATCCCTGGTAAGGCCTGGTAAGGTCAACTGACAGTTGGTTTGTCGTTCTGTGCGTTGGTGTTCTCGGGCTGTTGGTTCTATGCGGAATGAAGGATTCAGGATTCCTGCATCCTTCCCGCCATGCTTTGAAGACTCAACCAACGTACCCAGGATTTAACGTTAATCGAGTGCTCCATTTATCCATTTGAGAGTCTGCGCTAGTTAAGATCCTGTTCCTAGCGATGTAACTATTCCTGCATGCTAGCTCGCAAACTCTCAACTGCCACTTCTCGAATACGAACCAAGTGGCCGACCATTCTGGAATGCTACCTGGTCAATGCCAACAATAGCTCCTTTTTAGCTTCTCGTAAAATCCCATTTGGCTGTAGAATAACTAGTCCTCCAAAGTTACGGCTCTCAGCTGACTGGTCATAGTTCCGGGCAACAAGCGATGCTTGCCTCCGATACCAATGCACCAATATCTGCTATACGAAGTGTAACCTTTGACTGCAGAGCTAACTTTCGTCAGTTTCACTACGACCTGGCTCTGTCAAGGTGATGTTACTATGCAGAAGAGCCAAGTCGCGTTCGATAATGTTGCACGACCTCTAGTTTTAATGTTCTGCAGCATTAGGTTTGATGCTATGCCAGTGTTATACCATGAAGTAGGCTGCTCGCAACTATGCCTGGTACTCCAAAGAGAAGACGAAATCATGCGAACATGTCATAGCCATCTGGAGTTTTTCAACGAGGTACCCGCTCGGTAAAGGTCTCTTTGCGCAATATTAGTTCAAGGGGGATGCTATCTGCCGATTGAATACACCACAATAATCATTTATCAGAGCCTTAAACTCGCTCATGTCTCAGTTTTAGCGATGTGTCTCAAACGAAAACTTCCGAGTTCTCTCTTTGTATTCGGTAGTCCTGCGAGAAGGGAGGTGCTTGATGCGTGCAACAAACCCTATGGATTGCGATGTCGGACTAACTGTGATTCAAAAAGATTTCATGATTACCAGCCTCAATTTTTCCAACTGAGTTGCTAACCGCAAGGTGTTTCGCGCATTCCATGTCTCTTGCGTACATATCAGAGTCACGGCCAAGAGGGAGCCATTGCTAGGTTCACACGCGAGTCTGAGACACCACAAGCACACCACGCGGCTGGAAAAGCCTTTTTTGTGAGACCTTTGTTGTAGAATCTTGAGGAACTCGGTTAATATTTCCCACTATCTTGCTGTTTTTGGACGAGACAGGCAAGTATCGCGATGAGGAGACGAGACATGCTCTGAGGCAATTGGGAGAGGAAGTAGCCCAGTTGAAGAGACGACGGGATCTTCACATCTATAATAAGGCCATGGCATTCAAAAAAAGCTGATCTATCACTATTTGACTGGCGTATTGATTTATGATGCGACGAAAAGCCACCACTGACAGTAAAGAATGAACAGGAGCAAGACTCGATTTCATATCACAAGAGCACCGTACTCACTGCCCCGATCAGAAACATTCAGACTATTGCCCAGGTCTTATTTTGCCAGTTGAAGTTGATAAGGCTAAGGAAAGGTGGCATCTTGCCCTGCGAGGCTCATCTCTCCACTATTAAGTAGGTTTCTATAGAAGCTCAACTTTATCTTAGCTTTGCCGTATTTTGCAGCATTGGGTGTAAATGTTGCTGTGTGTCTCTTCATGTGTTCTTTGATCGAGTGTACGACGGATACGTTGAAAAGGAAAGTAGAAGTTGGCAGGGCTATTCGCAAATGACCACTGAGCAATGCTTTTGCTGGAGCCTGGGAGCGACTGAACCACATATGAGGTCAGAACAAGTGTGAGTACTTCCCACGGCAAAGAGTAATATTAAAGCTCCAATAACACTTGAAGGAGATCGCAACGACTTTGGGGCACTGATCTTTCTATGCAATGAGCTAGCTCGATGTGCCCCTAGCGCTCCCGGGATCGGGAACACCAAAGCTGGCATGAACCTCAAGGGGTAAGGCGAGCTTCGAAAGGCAGAACTGCACCATGTTGCACACTGAACAAGTGAGAATTCTGGCTTGTTGGCAAAGGCTTGGTTGTTACTCACCGTCCTTGCACTCCTCGATGCATGCAGACGCCAAGGGTATTGGGCATACCAGCAAAGGGCAAGGCTTTCAGCAGAGTGATACGATCCAAACATAGCGTCCAGAACATCACACCTAATTTCATAAAGCTATCTTTGATTTGTAGAAGGTAACGAATCTTGAGTTTACTGGTTGTAGGGGCACTGTCTCTCTTCTTGTTAGCCAAGGGAGGGGGAGTCTCCTCATTTCTTGATTTGATGCTATAAAGACATTGGTCCTAAACTCCTTCTTCTTTTATGCCACAGTGATCTCTATTAAAATCGAGGGTCTGTCTTACTCACAACGGCTTTGGTGACTAGTTCGCTGCCATAAGCCCACACTTCGACCAAAGCCACCAAACGAGTAGGTTTGATGCCGTTGTATTGATTAGGTTAATATGGACTTTAGATTTGAGTGAGTTGAATAGAAGAAGAGCTCGGACGTGCGCGTCGTTGAAAGTTGATGCATTACAGTAGTTCTTTCATATTCTTTTACTGACGTCTCCGTCATGCACAGGAGCAAAGAACGTACTCATAAACACATAGCATCATTAAACCACAATGCCATAAAACACCGTGGAATTGCAGCAGTTCATATCATGATACCCAATATGACTCTGTTGGTTACAGGATCAGCTCCAGCTGTGCAATGTCGGAAACCTCCTTCCAGATCTGTGAGAGCTTGGACTTATGCGAGATTATTGTGTCTGAGTGTTAATGCCTGTCAGTTGAAATACAGGGATACCTTCGGGAAGAGGAGGCTCCAGTCGGCTTTCGGAACACAAGCCCTGGTTCAAATCGAAAAAGAGGCCGAGGTGACATGTGAGCTTCTTCATTTACCCCAGCAGAGTCCACAATCTACAGCCAGGGATGATTTGCTTTTTCATCGCGGGGCCTGCCATGCACTTTCTCGGTCCGTACTCCCGAGAGAATGCAAAAGACAAGTAGCTCAGGTGAGAAATTTGCCATTTTCAAGTGTGCATATTTAGTCTCAATAGCTTGTTGCCATAAGCTGACTGTGATGGTGGGCATTGGTGGCTGGTTCTGGCTGACAACGGCGTTTGAATTGAACAGAGCAATATAGTGATTAGAAAACAAGGCACTAAGAGGCACTAAGCCGATCATGGTGAAAAGATGGTCAAGCAGTTTTGACCCCTGGTTTTGGTGGGCAAAGGTGGCAGGTAGTGCGACAAACCCTGGCCTCGAAGCATTTTCTGCCATCAACATCTACCTTAGTGAACATCGCTCAGTATTATCGTAAAGAGACAGTAGAATATGACATAAGAAAGGCCGTAACTTGAATTGATCTAATATGATACCCTCTATTTTCCCATAACCTTCCCAAATCCTCTATATCCTTCTGAATCACCATCCACCTGGTGGGTCTACACCATACTTGCTTGTCCGACCCTCCTTGGTTTCGTGTTTTATCTCGACAATGTTGGAGACTACAATGCCATTGAATGGATTGCTGTTGTTGCTGTTGGAATCCGGCGAGGGGAACTCCCTCAAAGTGTGTGCCTCTCCCTTCACTATACGCTCTTCGCTATCGTTGAAGGAAAGATTGGCCGAGATGGGGTTTGCAGTTGGAGGGCCACGACGGCTTTGGCTTCGGCTTCGGCCGCCGCCGCCACCACCACCGATGGTACGGAAGCCTGATGGTGTTTGGTACGTCTTCTGTGACGACCGTAGGACACTTCCGAAAAAGGGGGTGAGCCATATCCTGAAAAGAGGGAACAGAAGAGGAAGGTTGGTCGTGATGACGGCAACAAAAGTTTCTCGCGTGCCCCATGCTCCGGCAAGCTGTGCTCCATTTACAGGGTCCTTGTTTCAAGGGTTAGTGGGGTTGAAGTGGAGGGACAGCATGTAGACTTACCACCAGAACAAAGACACTCTTCATAATGGCACAAACAAGAACAAAGATACCGGCGCCCAGGATGAATGTAGAAGCAATCTTCTTAATCATCTTCAAGCTAGATCCCCACAACATGGGAAGAGGAATAGCGATAAGGTATATATCGGTCGAGACGTTTGCGGCGAACGACACCCATACGATGGGTCTGGAGATGGCGGCTTGACAGGAAGCTGAAGTCGTTGGTTAGCTAAGGTGACTTAATGAGGGAAGGACAAGACATACTGCCAGGATTGGGGTTGATCTGCCAGTATTTGTCGAAAGGCTGGCATCCTCCAAAGACGGCGATCATTGTTGCGATGAAGGTGCTGATAACGAGAGCAAATCCAATGTAAATCCGAATGACGTATCGCCGACCGAGTCCATCCTGAAGAATGTTAGTCGCCTAGGTCGGGCGGGATAGTCGAGAGATCGTACGGTAAGTCGAGTGTAGAAGAACAGCATTGAGAGCTTGAGGCACCAGATCAGAGCCGAGTAGATGGTCCAGCCAGCGACTTGAATCTTGGAGCCAATGATCCTAAAGCGACGGTCAGTTATTGTGCCTATACTCTTGGTCGGCAAGATGCATGCCTGAATTGGTACTCGGGGTCGTTTGGTGACAGGGCCGCACGCTCAGCATCAGTCATGCCACTGTTGGCCAAGCCATGTGCAAGGCTTCCGATGCTGTAGGCCAGACTTGTTTGGACTGTATAAAAGCACTAACAAAAGTCAGCAGCTGCGTATGAGAGTTGAACACCGGAAGACAAACAATAGCAAGGACCATGAGGTAGTCCTCAGTTTGGAGACCTCTAAAGCCGGCAACCCTCATGCGAGCATAAAATCGGAGAAACGTCGAGAGAACACCAATAGCGTAAAGAGTCCAAGACTCAATGGCCGAAGCTCGAAAGGCTGCCGCAGCCGCAGCCGCAGCCGCAGCCGCCTCGGCAGCGTTAGACATGATAACAAGAGAAAGTCAAAAAGAACGAATAAAAACAACAAATCACGAGCGTCTCCAAGAAACGAGAGAAGTTAAAGAGGAACGGCCCGACGCCATGGCTCCGGAATGGGGGGCACCCCATATGTATTTACTTGGCCAAAGTCTGCAGAGTCTTCCCAAAGCTCTCGAACCTCAAAGACTCGAAACCAAGGAAACGGACTCGGTTGACGCGATAAACCTCTAACGTCCAGCCTGCGCCCCTGGCCCTAACGGAACAAGGGAAGAGTGAATTGTCAAAAAAAGAAAAGAAAATAACTGAGTAAGCCAAGGCTAGAGAGTTCTCGGGTTCAGCAGCTTCCTAAAGAGAACTTGCTCGTGCTAAGAGGTCACCGAATCAGCAATAGCAGGTTGCTGAAAATGGCGCGCCAAGGTGCCGCGGAAGTTCGACAAGGTAAAGCAGCTAGAAACGCCACTTGCGCACTGTAACTGTACTATTCAGGAGGGGGAAACGCCTTGGTGCAAGCCACAATCGTTCGATTCAAGGGGCTCTTTACAGGGCCCCCGGGGAGGGAGACGGTTCCTGGCGATGAGACGTTCGAGATCCTGTTCCCGTGAGATCTCGTCAATCTCGACGGGCGTCAGTTCTCATACGACTCTGCCTCGATTCGAGGCGGGGCGATTGCTACCTCACTTGTAGATCCGGCTGGTCCGGGTTGGACTTGAACTACAGTTAACCGACCCGTTGATGATCCCCCTTAGCCGTGGAGTCGTGGAGGACCACCCGGTAGATCCCTGTGCCTGACTCAATCGGAAGGATTTCCGCTGGACGACGATGAGCTTCATTTGCCGGTCCACCCGGGTAGTATGCGCTAACATGCTTGAACCATTTGGAGCCGTTGCAGGCTAGGGGGCCGCCGGTGCCTTTACTAGAACGGGGCAGCTAAATCTGCATCCAGACCGCGCCAATGTGGCACAGACTCGCAGGGTTCAAGGTGGCTTTGAGCTTTTTTGCACTCACCGGAAAGAAGCATGGGGAAATTGACTACGCTAGAACCAGGGGAGAAACATCGGGACTCTAAAATGTAACCATGGATATCCTTGATGCAGCAAGTCGTGAGGCGGCGGTGCCAAATCCCGCATGCAGGTTAAATACTCGTTCAGCCCAGACTAGGACTCTTGTTCCTGCAGCTGAAGTTTTTTCTCTCCAAACGGCCGCAGGCACTCCCACACTTCATCCCCTTGAAATTGATCGGCTCCTTGTGGCGTCTCTGGTCTTGCAATGCGTTGGTTTCAGCTCGAGCTCCTGACGGCTCTCGCCGCCTGGGCGACCACCTCTGTCTGTGCCACGACTCCTGTCAGCGGAAGCTTGGGGGGGAAGTGCCCTGAGGACATTGGCAAGCTTGGAGAGAAGCTGTCCAAGTCTGCCAAGATTTACTTCCCTGGCTCTGATGACTTTGTCAAGGCCACCACTCGATGGTCGGTCCTAGGTGCCCCCACGATCAATGTTGTTGTCGTCCCCGGTACTGAGAAGGATGTTTCCGAGACGGTAGGTTCCTTGCTTGGCATTACGTGGGCCTGTAATAACTCTTTTAGGTCAAATATGCCAACAAGAAGAAGCTGCCCTTCCTCGCCTACAACACTGCCCATGGAGCCATCACCACTCTGGCTCGTATGGACCATGGCATCGAGATCTACCTGAACCAGCTCAACGGTGTTTCCATCGCTAAGGACGGAAAGACCGTCAAGATCGGAGGTGGTGCCCCATCCAAGAAGGTCACCGATACCCTCTGGGCCGCTGGCAAGCAGACTGGTATGTCTCCTCCCTTGCATCCGACACGTGGTACTGACTCTTTACAGTGACCGGCACTTGCGAGTGTGTCAGCTACATGGGTCCTGCCCTTGGTGGTGGTCACGGTTGGCTCCAGGGTCACCATGGCATCATCGCCGACCAATGGGTGTCCCTTCGTGTCGTCCTCGCCGACGGTTCCATCAAGACCATCAACCAGGATTCTGACCTCTGGTGGGCCATGAAGGGTGCTGGCCACAACTTTGGCATCGTCACCTCTGCTACTGTTAAGATCTACGACATTGAGCACAGCGACTGGGCCATCGAGACCCTCGTCTACAGTGGTGACCAGGTCGCCGAGGTTTACCAGGCTGCCAACGACCATCTTCTCAGGAAGCAGCCTGAGGGTGTCATCAACTGGTCTTACTGGCTCAACAACCCGGACGCCGACCCTAACAACGTAAGTCACCTGCCTGTCTACCATCATGCCTGTCGCTAACCCTTGCCAGCCCATCATCCTCTTCTGGATCATCCAGGAAGGCGTCAAGACTGTTGATGCTGCCATCAGCAAGCCCTTCCACGACATTGGTCCTCTCGCTATCACGCCCGACTCTGGAGACTACCGTGACCTCGCCAAGTGGACTGGCATCAGTCTCGACGCTCCTCCCTGCCAGAAGGATGGCCTTGTTAACCCCCGCTTCCCTCTGTATCTCCAGTCCTACGACATCAAGGCCATGAAGAAGGCCTGGAAGCACTTTGCCTCCAACGTCGGATCTGGCTCTCCCTTTGCCAACTCCCTCTTCATGTTCGAGGGTTACTCCACCCAGGGTCTCCGCGCCGTCGACAGCAAGTCGGCCGCCTTTGCCTTCCGTGATGCCAACCTTCTTACTGCTCCTCTCATCACCTACAAACCCGCCGGCGCTGACCTCGACAAGAAGGCGGCCAAGCTCGGCAACCAGCTTCGTTACATCCTCCACAAGGCCTCTGGCCTGCCCGAGAAGCGTGCCTATGTCAACTATGCCTACGGTGATGAGACGCCCAAGCAGTGGTATGGAAGCGAGTCGTGGCGGCAGCAGCGCCTGCAGAGCCTGAAGAAGAAGTACGACCCTAGTGGCAAGTTCAGCTTCTTTGGTCCTGTCGCCTAAGCAAGCGGTTAGAATAGCTTGCTTTGTACATAGAGTAGTTGGACGCCTGTAAGAGAGTGAATCATGTAGACTTACCTATACTACTTAATGCATGTAATATGACTATAATTAACTAGTATGACTCGCTTGGTTTCGGTCTCGAATCTCACGATCTTAGAATGAAAATCGTGTCTGAGGGTGTGAACAATGATTCAAGCCCTCCCTCACGGAAAAACCACGGCTATTCATGGGAGTGATTAACGGCGCCCAGAAGAACGAGCGAGCAACATGGATGCTGGGTGGCTTCTGAGGTAGCTGGGCCACGAGTTTCCTCAAGCTCTCCATGGGGTGTGTGGGGTATCCTGTATGCTAAGATCTGCTAGCAGATACTTTCCCAAGTGCGCGTGTAGTGGGAATTGCCATGTACTCTCTATCAGTCACTAATGCTTTAGATACGTCATTGGCTGTTGCGAACTCATAATTTCCACCAGTCAAACAAATGGTTCGAAACCCTTTTTACTATCTATCGTAAGAATATAAATAAGGTGAGATTTTAGTTTGTCTTTTAACAAGAGCTGTATCTGATGAAATACTGACATGGATTGCTAATGATGGCCCCGCCAGTTTGTGCGATTTGCCGGGGTGCCTCAAAAGCTGAGACAGTGTTCCGAATGACCTACCTACCCTATGGCAAGATGAAGAACCGCATCAATTGTCCGGGCTGCTTACCGGTCTTTTGCTATATAGAAACTGACATGAATCTTAATTAGTTATCATCTCCAATTCTTTGCCCTTTTGTGTTGAAAAGTACTCAAGTTGGTCAAAGACTCTCTCAACTCCAAGGAGACAGGATTCAGTCAACAACAGGCTATTGTAATATCTGTACAGAAATAGGGTTAGATAGAAGTGTGAATGAACACAGCAATTCAGGGCAGATGCCATCGATGTAGGGAACGAATGCCATCGGGTATATGGTTTAAATGCACCCTTCCTCACGGGACGCGACAACCACGTCTCCAACTGGCGTCTTGGTTCCAATTCCAGAACAATTCAGATCAGCGGCTGACTCTTGATACATACTCTATTGTTTGGTATCCAGAGTGATAAAGAGCTTAGACTCGACTGTAAATGACAACTGCACTTTGATTTACCTGCAACAACCATGCATCGAGCTTGTGTACCTTGTAGCGCATCGCTTAACGCCACCAAGGTTTCGGCATGGAACTATCGGCGCGGGCAAGATTAAAGAAAGTCCCGATAAGGCTACTATGGAGATAAAAACAATTTCCCACTGGCTTATCTCCAGTCATTTCCAGGGGTATTCCGAGGGCTATTCCCTGAGAGATGAGCCCAAGATCTGTTGTGACCCTGAGATATTCTCCTGGATAAGAGTGGAACACCTCTGCTTCCAGCTCTTAGAAAGATGAGAAGGGGACGCCCGGGGAAGATTTTCATACCTGCGCTATGTTGGCATTCGCACTCATACAACGTGAAATTGTTGGCTGGGCTGATATCAAATGCATGTGAGAAGCCACAGGACATGAATGACATTGAGGCACCATTGCTTAGACGAAACTCAAACATATCAAGAGCTATTTCCATTTCTTGGACCGGGCAGCTTCCCACCCATTGCTATCACTGGGCTAGGCGAGTACATTTATTTTTTCCTCTGACCACCTTGAGGCAAAACATAGTATAAACTATTCGTCGATATCCTACCTTCGCGAATGAACACCCACGCACATCCTCTGCTGTAACTCAGATCTGGCCTCAGCACCAGCCTCCACCAGTTCGTCCCACGTCCTGCCCACATACTGGGCGATGCCTCTTGCGCCTTTTTCTTTCCCGGGGCGAAGATGTATCCATGGCATCGGGTTCGGATCTGCTCCATTGAGGATGAGGTATTGCATGAGTAGGGCCGCTTCCTTGGTAGTCTTTTTCGCAGCGATTTGCAGCGCCGTCATGCTCGCTCTCCTGGCCTGGTTTGGATAGTCGATGGGAGCTCCCAAGGCTAGCAGCTCCTCTGCTAGGGAGAGGGAGCAGCTTGACTTGGCGACGCTTACGAGCAGAGATCCTAGCAGAGCGGGTGGTATTCTATCTGCCAGCTTGCGCAACGTGTGCTTCACCCTGGCTTCCTTCAGAGGGTCGTTCTTGATACCAGTGAAGAGTGTCCGGTTGAAAAGCACATCAAACGAACTCTTTTCGCCATGTATTGATAACTCGGGCACCAGGTGTGGCACATTGAGCAGGTAGTCTTCCCACAGGCTGTAGATCTCCTCGGATTTGGAACCAAGTGCGACCTTCATGATTTTAACACGGTCCTCTGGCTGAGATGTCGAGATGGCCCACTTGGCGAACTCAACATCTTCGCTCTGGATGGCAGACGTCACGATGATCCGTGGTGTGCCAGTCTCTCCTACCGGTGCAAGGAGCTGTGTCAATGCCAGGGAGCCCTCTTTGGCCGCAAGACAGCGGGCAGAGTCGATGACTTCGGCCTTGAGCTGTTTCCCACCTGGGGCTGAGAGCAAGCGCCTGGCACCGTCGGCATCGCCTTCGATGACAAGGCCGAAGAGGATGGGCTGGGCCTCGGCCACATCCAGGTTGTCAAACTCATCGGGGCCCGTATTGAGTTGGCTTGCATTAGGTAGATGAAGCTTCAGCCAGTGCTGGTCGCGCGTCGCCTTGGACGAAAATCCAATGGAGGAAAAGTCGCAGTTGGGGATGGAGCATTTCCACGGCCTTCCATGAGTTTTGATGTGGTCTTCTCGATCGCGGCTGGTTTGGAAGCCTCGATAGCTGTGCTCACAAAACGCAAACCTGCACCTGAGCAGGCCGGCGCCGTAGTGAGAGTGCAGTGATGCCACGCGCGTCGGATTGAGTGCTAGAGACTCGTGCTGTTCTTGGATTCGTACCAACATTTGTGAAGTAGTCAGGGGATCTAGGTCGACCCATGTCTCGCCTAAGACATTGTTACTTGGTTTCAGTAATGGAATGAACGCAGGGAAATACTTACTATTGCTCCAGTTCCAGTCATATCGCCTGTCGTCCAAGTGAAACTGCAAGGCCTCGCAGACCATCGCGAGGGCTTCCGGGCATTTCCGCTGCAAATAAGAGTTCTTGATGAGAGGTTTCAGACGCTCTGTGGTACCTTTAAAACGATAGTTTCTCCCTCGTTGCATTAGTCTATCCAGCAGCTCTCGAAGATGGGCTGGACGCTGTTCTCGGTCATTTGTTTCATAGACCAATTTGGGCCAGAACAATGCCGCATACTCAAAGAGTCGATATTTCCCGGTCAGGATGTTCTCTTGTATGTCCTCGTCGTCAAGGTCCACATCCATGATGCTTGAGCCAAGGTAGGCAAGAAGTGTCAAAGCCAGTTCTTGGGCAGAAAATGACTTGTCAATATAGTGCCGGATATCATTGCTGAATATGTACCTGTTGAGCTGTTAATTAGCCAAAAGAAAAAAAAGGAAAATCTTATTTGAGCCAGTGGATAAGTGTCTGGCACGTACTCGTGGACAGTGAAGTGAACAAACTGTAGCTTCTCATCCACAACCTCAATGATAGGGCCACACATCTGCACGAAGCTGACATTTGTGACGAGCTGAGGTGGCTCACTGAGCTCTTTCTCCAGATTCGAATCAATGGATAACGCCTGTTCCATCTCAAGCGCTGTTAGAGGAACCGGGGCGCTCCCGATCCAGCCCAATATCTTTCGGCATTTGGCTCGAAGCTGCGGTCTTAGTTTGTTTATGCGACGGAAAATGCGGTGGTATCTGCCATGAAGGATCAGGAACTACTCTGGCGTCACACCGTGGCCTCGACCAATTAACTTACGCGCCCTCCAAATCGTTTGGAAGTGCTTTGAGCTCAGATCGAATTTCTTCAATGCTGTTCATCTGCTCCAAGTTGTCTAGAATAATTCGTGCGTATAAGAACATGCCTGGACGCAAGATATGTCAGGAAACCGTCATGGCATTGGGTGATACGAATGGAGACTTGCCATTTGCTTTTGCCGACAACGGCGAGATGAACTGGAGGAGCTCTTTTTTCGTGGCTGGATTGAAATGCCGGCTGGCCATCCATTCTTCAAACCTCTGATCCACATAGATCTGAATACTGCCCGAGTTCCTGTCATCAACTCGAATTGTGGTGGCCCTGTCCTCGAGCCTCCTGGAGATGTCGTCCTCAGATCGGCTGGAGATGAGAAGTCGGAGGTCCTTGCACTCTTTGGAGAGTTCGGTTAATCGGTGCAAGAGAATCTGGCGCTCGCACTCTTCCATCTCATCCAGCCCGTCAATAATGATGAATATAGATCCAGAGGTCGCAAGAAACGTTTTTAGCAAGCCCACGATATAACCCGTGTTTCCTTGAAGCTCGCGCTCTTGTGACTCAACCAAGAGAGTCTGAAAGTCCTTGTCATCCTCAGCAGCTTGAAACATGAGGGATTGAAGAATCGAAAACGCCGAAAAGCTACTGTTGTTCGCATGAGTCGCAAACGCGAAGAGGGCTTGGTGATGCTCCCTCGTGTGCTCAATAGCCGCAGCAGTCAGATACGTCTTTCCTGCTCCCGGAATTCCCTGTAGCCAGATCCAAACGACGGTGCTTTTTGAGATGTCGAGCCATTCGCAAAACTTCTCATCCTGGAACAGCCATGTCGCGCAGCCGGAAGTCCTCCTGTTGCGCAACCAGTCTAGCCGATCGTCATACATGCTTGGAGAGAGGCGAGCTTTCAGGCCAAGGTATTTTTGGAGCTCCTGAAAGGCCTCTGCTCTGGTAAAGTGTTCTGATGAACGAAGCCGATCTTCTCTTGCTTGTTGGATGTCTAGGATAGTCACCTCGCTCCGCAGTAGATTCGAATGTTTCTGAAAGTTGTCGATTACGACGTCCAGCTTCTTCTGCTGTCCCTCCCATATCACGTCAAAAATCTGCTTCCACCCTGTCATCGAAAGGTCAATCAGTGAACCTGTACAGACCGCTGCGTACACTAGGCTTAATGGGAAACTTACGAGTCTTGCGGAAGAAATCAAATAGGATGCGATAGAAATCCAAAATGTCCAAGTAGAACAAGGTTAATGCGTCCTTGACAACGTCATTGGAGTCAAATGTCTGCGCCAGTACCGCAAACTGTGGCAAGGCGTGTCCAACGCTCTCCAGTGTATCCGAGATCTTGTTGAGGACGCTACTGATTTGACTAGACCATAGCAGGATGATCTTGATGGGGCCCCATATCAGGGCAATCACTTCAGGTTTAGCTTGCATGAAGACCTCGATCACCAATGCATACTCTGTGAGGCGGTCGAGCAGGGGTTTGATTTTGGCCAAGTGTCGCATCTTGCCCTGTGGTCCCATCTTTGCTTGGATGTCGGATGTCGCCTTGTAGACCTCATTAATGGACTTGGCCGTCAAGATCTCGTTGTACAGACCGGGATCACGGAGGTCCTTGCGGAACCTCTGCTGGGCCTGATCGAATGAATCTTCTGTTGCATTATTGGTTGACATGTTGGAAATGAGAGGAAAGAAGCAATTGTTATGAATGATGTGGATGATGAGGTTCGGTCATGTTATGGGGTTGGAAGATTAAACCACGAGGAAACTGCAAAAGCACCCTTCAGTGAGCAGCACCTCAGAATCAATGGATGCCTGGCAAGGCCACAGCCACAATACAAGCTTAGAAAGCCGGAAAGGCCTTGCCATGGCCGCCCGCAGCGTCTCAGGTTAACCAACACAACCAACACAACTAGCACGCTGGCCAATGAGCAGCATGATAGACCCCTGAACCTGTGGCCGTGTATGCGGCCGCGACAACCCCGCCACTCTGTTGGTTACAGGGCCTGCAAAAGAGGCCAACAATTGCGGCACAGTTCAGCTGATGCTGGCGCTTCCAGATAAGCCCAGGGTCCCAGTTGCACCATCTTTCAGCACACCATAATTCCAAAGTTGACGGCCATCATTGTCCTTCATCCCCCTTTCAACCCTAATCACGAGCTCCATTGCCAGTTTTGGAGGGCCAACGATCATCGCCATGGCGCGAGTACCTGATAAACGACCTCATTCACTAAAAAGCAGAGAGGGGCCGACGAAGAAGACCAAGTTGTCCCACTGCGACTCAGGCGAGGTAACATCAGAGAGCAGTGGTCGTCGGCGTGCCCGGGACGCATCAGTCATCGACGCCGGACCTGTCTGCGGGAACAGCATCTCGGAACCGATATGCATTCTAAGTTCTGATGAAGATGAAGAGCTTCCACCCCCAAAGACGTCAGCGACAAATGCTAAGCGCACTGCGGCCTCACTGCCAACATCAAATGCTGCCGCTTCAGAGTCTACTTTTCCAAGAGCTACGACACCCGTCAAACCATATGATGTATGCTTCGGGATGGTACGATACTTCTTGCATGCTTTGTTCACAATAATGAGAGATCTAACAAACACAAGCTTCTCGTGCAGGCTACGTGCACTGAAGATGCGACTGTGCCTTCTGAATGTTCGCCAGTCACGCTGGGGTTTGAAGGGAGACTTCTTAGGGTGTACCCAAAAGACTCGAGTGAGCGCATTGCGGTCGTATTTTCTCACGCACTGTTTCGCTTGGTCAACGAGTTCGCCGTCACCTTGACAGCCACCGCGTGCGGGAGAAGGCAGCGAGTGTTTGATGCCTCAGAACGGGCCATGGCCAAGATAGGCGGCATGAAAGTCTGCTCTCTCAGGATAATCTGTTATGGATTTCTTCAGCAGAGCCACGATGTTGCAGATATACTCGCAAAGGGTGATCTGTTCCTTCAACACCCTGGTCCAGCCGAGGTCGACAGAGCAGTGAAGTACCTGAATCCCCAGTATCTCCTCCCGCCTGGCGAAGATTTCCCTGATATTGAGAAACTCTCTATTTACAGCTGCTGTTCCGGAGGGGGAGCTAGATCCAGCGCGTCGCGGGATGAACTTGGGGAACATGAGCAAAGCCAGATCTTTAAAATTTTCAACACGGCCTACGAAGAGAAAGGAGTGATGGCGATGATTGAACCAAGCCCACGATTGGTCACAACGTTGAAGAGGTAGGCCCAGGTCTCTAGCCTGATGGCATAATTATACTGACCTCGCTGCATTAGACACCAGATTGAGGCACTTGTCATGATGGTAGAGAAAGAAGCGGGTGTGTATGAAGGTGCTCATTTTAAATCCATATGGCAGCCATTCAAAGCACCCGATGGAAAATTCCGGCATGTTTTTGCAAACCCTTCTCCTTTCTTCTGTACACCCCATGTTTCTAACTCTCAGTGTAACTAGCTATCAAAACATCGTCACAGAGCTGTTCGTTATGACGCGTCCCCAGCCAATTGCTGGTGGAATACTTGCAGATGTACTGTAGAGCTCTCAATGACACCCCCAAGCATCCAAACTGACTTGTCGAAGGAAATGGGTCTGGGGAAAACCCTTTCGGCTCTTTCACTCATCTGCCATTCCCTGGATCAATGGGAGAAAGACCCAAGCTTGACCCAGGGCATGCCAAAAACTACGCTCATCATCACTCCCAAGTCAAGTACGACACCTATGATTAATATCATCTAACTTGTTGGCCACGCTGACGATTGACAGCTATCTACGGGTGGGAGGCGCAAATCAAGACGTATGTACTTCTACTCGTGCTGTGCTGCAGTTGATTTAACCAAAACTGAGGCGGTAATAGTCATATTCGCCCCAACAAGATCCGCTGGATCACGTACCACGGGTCGAGGCGACATGAGGTTTGGGACGATATAGACTCATACGATATAGTTTTGACAACATACGACACTATCAGATCGGACAGGGCCAAGAGCTCTCCTCTATTCGAAAAGGATTGGGCCAGAATAGTCCTGGATGAAGGTGAGGATCTATCTTTGTCAGCTGGAGATATTCTTCCAACAACTGATCACTCGAGAAAAGCCCACAGGATTAGGAACCGAGGTTCTAAGATATTTCAAGATGTGTGCAACCTACAGGCTGAGTCACGGTGGTGTCTGACAGGAACCCCAATCCAAAATTATCTCGACGACTTTGGTTCCCTCTTGAGCTTCATCCGGGTGCCCCCTTTTGAGACCAAGGACCAATTCGATAGCCACATTGCTGAACCTGTCAAGCAGAGGAAATGCCAAGGCCTGGAAATGCTCAGGAAAGTCGTCGCCGCGACTTGCCTGCGCAGAACAAAGGCAGATCACGCGAAGATGCTGAACCTGCCGGACAAGATACCCCATACGGAGTGTGTTGACATGAGCCGCAATGACAGACAGCTTTATCAGTTCTTCAAGCGCTTCTCATACCTCACCGCTGGTCTCGACAAGACATCTAAAAAGAAGGCGGCTACAAATATCCTGGTGCTCATTTCTATGCTTCGGCTCATCTGCGATCACGGAGAGGCACTTCTTCCGGACTCGGCCCTCACAGCCTGGAGGAAGCGAGATGAGACCGCCCTCACTTGGGAGATGCTTGAGTCCACCACCAAGCGGTGTGTCTCCTGCGATTGCCAGATCGAAGAACTAGGTGCCGCAGAATCGCTTACCGAGGCGCTGGGATGCGGCCATCTCTTGTGTGGAGACTGCGCAGCAAAGTTGCGAGGCTCTGCTAGCCAGTTGCCGTGTCCCAAATGCGGGATTACAGCGTCCATGTCACCTCCAGCCGAGAACAGCTCTGGTTTGCCGATGTCTCGGACTGCATTTGGAGGCCCTTTGAGACCACGGTACGCTCCATCTGCCAAGGTCGAGGCACTCCTTCGGAACATCTCAGAGAGACAACAGAGACCCGGACAAAACTCAAAGCCCAATAAAAGGTATATACTCACACATAGTTACCAATCTCGAGGCTAGGCCCCCGTATTGACTCCGCACAGCGTAATATTCAGCTTCTGGACCAAGATGCTCGACCTCATCGGGGTTGCTCTTGAAGATAAGGGCATGAAATTCTGCCGGATTGATGGACAGGCATCAATGTCCCAGCGTAAACAGGCTATAGCAACATTTGGAAATGATCCAGAGTGCAACATCATGCTGGCGAGTATCGGGGCAGTTGGCGAAGGGTGCGGGTTGCTTGTGATACTCTTTTGGATTGATCATCCTGACCATCGAATAGGATTGATCTTGTCTGTGCAAACTCGGTGCACATTATCGAGCCCCATTGGAACCCCATGGCAGAAGCCCAGGCTATCGACCGCGTTCACCGTATCGGACAGCAACAGGAGGTCGACGTTGTGAGATACATTGTCAACGACTCGATCGAACTGGTGATGCCCCCGAGTCACGAGCAACTCATGACATTTAGAGTGGTCGGTGCTGACTTTTGTATTGCTAGTACGTTAAATGGATTCAAACTCACAAAATGAACTTGATTGCCGAGTCTCTCTCGACGTCGGAGGCGAAAGCTGAAAATGTCGGCGAAGTTCGGTGGAAGGCGAGTATCTTGCTCCCTGTCAGTTGAATCGAGCCCTAACAGCTCACATAGAAACTCTTGGGGTTCCTTGAATGATAGGTTGGGGTGGAAGACAAAGATTAGGTAGTTCTATCGTGTTAGTTGCATTGCTGGGAGGAACATTATCCCACAAAAACTGCTGAGCATTGTTATTGTTGTTATTTTGACGCTCTTGTTGATTAGCGCCGTTAGGGAGGTGTACGATAAGAATGGAACTGTCCAACTTCTATTACCGTAGTTTGAGTGCTCAGGATCGATCATCAATTCGTGGGAAAAGGAGGTTCGTAGCATCCACCTAACCCTGGCACGGCTCAGACCAGTCGGCTTTATGCATGAAATTAATTAAGAATGAAGGCGACATGCCCAAAGCAGGGCTTTCTCTGGCTGTTGGGCGGTATACTAGGTACTCAGCTAAAGGGGGGTGAGTAGATAAGGGGTTAAGGGGCATTGAGCTCCCTCCATTAATCACGTGTCGCTTCAGCATAACATGGCAAGATTGCGGCCAAGTCATTGTCGAAAACGGCGGCAGTTTGGTAGTTTCCCGCAACACCGAAACGGAGGGAACCCGGGTTTATCTCCGTCGCGAAGGCCGAGATACTAAGATAAAGCTTTGAGACACGATTGTCTTGAGCTGTCAATGTTTTCTTTAGCTACCTAAATATGGGGCATATGACGTAAATCCATGCTTTTCAGGGGTGCACGTGCTTGCACACGGAAGCCGCTTCGTCCCACATTCCGTGAACTGCCGCTTAGTAACCCAAAGCAACCAATCACACAAGACCTAGCTTTGACCCGACAGCCCAGAACCCATCGTTTGGGCAGCACGGGTGGTCTGCTTTAAGCTACCATCATGGATAGCTAAGCCTCATTGAGGCCCGGGCTGACTTCCGAAGACCGAAGAGGCGAACCATTCATGCGGCTGCCGAGATTTACGGCCAACACGGGGGTCGGCGACACGGCGACTATAACCCCGATACCGTCCAGGGGCAAACCGCCGACCTCAATCTAGATCCTTTATATATGAACTCGTCTCCGCCGCTTCAAGATGGATGGATTATTCGTGCCCATCAAGCCTCAAGCAACAAGTCAACAACTTGAAACTCAGAAACCGAATCCACCATGACGATAATACCTCCCCGATCCACCAACCGAGAGCCCGCGAGCTCTTCGGCCTGGGCTGGAAAAATGAAGGCCTACATCATCCCCATCATGATGACCGGTCTGCTGGTACAGCTCCTTTTCCTCGCAAACATGTCGTACATGTTTGGTTCCATGTTCAAGTCCACATCGCGCCTGCATAACCTCAAGATCCTCGCCGTCGACTACGACAATGGAGACATTGGCCGGTCCATCTCTGGTGCTTACGGTGCTCTGGAGTCAAAGGAGTTTCCCACTGTCAAGTTCGCCAAGTCCTCCGAGTATCCAACCCCCGAATCACTTCGAGATGCAGTCTGCAAACATGGGTACTGGGGTGCCGTCTATACACACTCTGGCGCATCCGATCGACTCCTGAGCACCATCGAAGGCCACAACACGACCGCTTACAACCCTAAAGACGCTGTCACCTACATCTACAACAGCGCATACTACCCAGCCGCCTTCATGTCTCTGAAGGGCAGCCTCCAGTCTCTTGTTGCCGCCGCATCCAAGTTTTATCCGATGTCGAACCCCGATGTGCTCAAGGGCGCCAACTTGACGAGCCCGGCCTCAGTCTCTACGCTTCTCAACCCCTTCACAGCGACCGAGTGGGACATCATGCCTACCAACCAAGGAGCCCGAATCCTGCTCAACACCGTGTCCATGGTGATGCCAATCATTATGCAATTCTTTTTCCAGATGGGTCTGAATGGCATCACTGGCGGGGCCAATATGCTTGCGGGCCAATCCAAACGGGACGTGTACGTCTTCCGATTCTGCACCGGAAAGATCTTTACATTTGTCGCTGGTTTGGGTATGGCTGGTTACATTTGGGCTTTCCGCGAGGACTGGGGTGTGACGGCCGGGCAATTCTTTGAGACGTGGATGTGCATCTGGTTCTACATGGACATCAACTACCTCATCATCGACACTCTAGTGGGAACCATCATTCCTATGCAGTTCTTTGCCTTTTTCCTTCTCACATGGATCATAACCAATATTGCCTCTGTCGTCTACCCCTTCGAGCTCACGCCCGGCTTCTACCACTGGTCATGGGCCTTGCCATCGCACAACATTTACCTCTTGCTTGTCGGAATTTGGTCTGGCTGCCGGGCCAATATCGGCACAACGCTCCCAATCCTCTTCTCTTGGTGGCTGGTCACTCATGTAACCAGTGCTTGGTCCGTCCGCAAGAGGTGCTTGTTGGCTGAGGCCGAAGCACATCAGAACGAGCAGGCGCAGCATGACAAGTTTGTTCGTTTTAGCACTGAACAAAGTGAGCAGTTTGTGCTCAACCAAATCTCTTCTCGGACTGCAAATGACCGAACCTCGCCCGACCGCGACCTTGAGGCGAACCGACTTGCAGTTGGAGAGAGCCTACCGAACGGTAGCGAGAGTCGAACTATCATCAACACACCTGTTGGCCGGGACGAGGGAAAGGCGGGTAGGAAATAGGAACTTAAGAGGCGTTTGGAGTCATTTTAGAAATGGTTATAGACACTGACGCGGGCATATAGACACGGTATGGTATGTACTAGGAGCGTTTTGATTGACAGCGGCTTGATATCCTCTGATCTGGTAGATCGGATTTGCTTGGACTTATTCACCATTCATAGACAAAAGAACAATCTCTTTATATCTCTTTGACAACAAACACAAACACTCTCTTGGATTTCCTTGCGTACTTCTAACATAAATACTTAATACTTAATATAGGTTACATGTAACCAAGCTTGAGCCCTTGACTGCAGTGACAAATGTTTCGCGTCTTTTCTAACCTCCAAGAGCTGAAGTCATGATTTTGCAGATGGGCTCTGCCTTACAGTGGCTACCATATGCCCACAACGCTGCTTGTAGTACAACTCAATGCTTCCATCATACCATTTCTTGTAGCCTGGGCCTTCCAACAGACTTCCGTACGAGGTGAACTACCAATCTGGCCACAAACCAGCATTGTTTCCACGCCCCATCCGAAAGAAGTGGCATTGGACGGAAGACTCAAAGTCATCAACCACCTCGACGCCCGAATTCGCTAGATACAGAGCTTTTGGCTTTTGTGTCGTGTACCTAGGCCACTCGGGGACATAATTGCTGCCAGGACCAAGGCCGTTCGGTTCATGGAACATGGTGAACGAGAGAATGTATTGTCTTAGAAGGGTGGCCACGGTGGCGTTGCCGGGAATTTGGGCACCCTGGGCAATGCGAGACCCGTCAGCTGTAGTAACCCGTTAGTGGTACAAAATGACTTAGCGAAAGGATTGTGACAAACCGTTGGTGTAGTTGCTGTACATAAACTTGTCAGTTGCAGAATGGAACTGGTATCCGGAGTTGAAGATCAGCTTGTATGCCGGAATGCCAGCTTTGGCCACCGCCTGAGCCATGTACGTGGTGGGACAGCCAACGAGTGCATCGCCGAAAAGAGCCGATCTTCTAATGAAGCTATTGGTGAGGGTGTTGTTGATGGCACCCGCCTTCTTCAAAAGATCGTAAACCGGCAGTTGACTGAGGTGAGAAGTGTTGTAGCGTGATTCTGGGTATAGACTCCAAACAGTATCGGCATAATAGCCAGTGTCGTCATGCCATAGAGCTGCAAGATCAGACATGGCTTCTTCATCGGTGGCGGTGGACGTATTGGAGAAGATGAAGCCCTCGTCGAAATTTCGATCCACCAGGATAGGCACCTTTGTGAAGTGCCCCTGTCGGAATTCCTCCTGAAGGTTTGCCTCGATAATTCGGCCATCAATTGTTGGACCCCAGTAAAAGGTACCAAAGGCGTATTTCTTGTCGGCATATGCTGACTCGCTAGCAGCCCGAGTCGCTGCTTGGATTGTCTCGATTGGCAGCTTTCTTAAGCAGCCGATTGAGTCACAGTTGGCAGCTTCAAGGAAACGCTTGTATTGGTCCTGTACCCAATCATCACCATACATGGGCGTCCACCAAGGAAACTCTGGTGACGTGTTAGCAGAGGAGGATAAGTATCATGGAGTTCATACCTGGGATGGCTGCTTGAAATGGGGGATTGGTTGGTCTGCCGCCATACATGACCATCTGCAGGGCCACAGAACCACCGCCAGCACTGCTGCCTGTAATAGTGATTCTGGTGGGATCACCACCAAAATATTGGATGTTATCCCGAATCCAGTCGAGAGCAAGTCGCTGATCGAGCAAGCCAGCATTCCAGGTTCCTTGGGTTCCGTCTCCTCGTAGTTCATCTCCACCCAGGAACCCTAGGGCACCAAGGCGATATTGAATAGACACATAGATCACGGACCCGTTGGACTGGTGGACCAGACTGTCTCCTGTTGTAAACTGTGTGCTTCCGGCCAGGTAGCCTCCACCATGGATCATGACCAACACTGGCAGCCGATGAGAGACTGGATCCACCGGTGTCTGGATGTTAAGGCGCAGGCAGTCTTCATCCTGCCTGAGATCAGACTGTGTATTAGCGCGCCAGGCAGCCGTGCTCTGCCAGCATGCCGGGGGAGGTTCTGTCGCCTTCACGTGCCTGATACCCCGCCTTCTGGTATTGAAGGGGACTGGATCCCTCCATCTCAACTCCTTGACGGGAGGCTCAGCATATCTGATGCCCCAAAAGGTGTTGATTCTGCAGACATCTTAGTCAAGGCAGCCTTTGATGTTGGTGGTGAGGAGCTTACCTGGACGTGTAATTCTGGACGCCTACATATTTGACTCCATTTGCATGGACAGTTATAGACTCAGCCACTGAGACCAAGAGCGAGATGCAGAGCAATAAGCCCTGAAGGCGATACACGCCTGACCACATCATGACACGAGTAGCAAAGTCACAGCGCAACACACGAGAATTTTCCAAGCCCAAACATACATAACCTTATTATACCTGAGCTACCCCACGACCCCGCAAGTGGTCAAGAAAACCGTGGGGTAAAGAAATCTC